TGCTCGCGGTTATGAACGAACTAGACACTGATATGTTGTCGCGTTGCAGCTCTGGTCTGAGTCTACCTCGCACTCAAACAACACCGCTATCCCTAAACGTGACTGAAAAGAAACATGGAGTACAACATATCCACCAGACGAGACCAAAATCATGTATCGAGAAAAGAACCCCTTATCCTGAAGAACTGTCCAAAGCTATCACAGAAGCTATCAATTCTGGCCAGTTCCATACATCTCAAATAGCCAGTGGAAGCAATGGTATGCGTGAATGCTTGCATGATGACAGCCAAAGCAACAAGGATAACATGGATGAGTATGCTCAAAGGGTTGACAAAATGCTAGTGACGAATTTCTCTGAACATGCCCACGAAAAATTCACTTGCAGTAGTCCTGTAATATCTATTCTCAGTTTTAGTTTGGTCAAAGAGATTTCAGACAGCGCCATGCCTCGACGGCGCGACCACAACGACGTTATACTCGGAGAGAGACCCAACCTCTCCAGCAGGCCTTGCACGCCACTCTCGCCCACACCAGAACTTCACACATTCAGACAGACAGCACAGAATTCAGGCAGTTCTAACTTGTCTCAAAACTCGCCAAAGAGGGCCTCGAATGCAAAAGCATTGGATACGTCTTCTACTTGCAAAGTGGCTAATGAAAACGACGAGATGAGAGGTAGTTTGTGTACGTACACACGCATAGAGGCATATCCAGAAATATCACACGAGTATACTCCTCAAAAACCAAATTTAACAAATGAATCTACTCGGAGAAGAGTCGATTGCTCAGAAATGGGTGACACTGAAGACTCTTGCAACACGAGGACTAATAAAGAAGCAGGAAGAAATAAACAATCACTGACAGTCCGAGAGACTACCAGGTTGAATCCAGAGAGGGTAAAAGCCGAGGGACCCCTGATCGATGGTGCACCCAGGTCTGCAGCTAAATGTTTGATGAAATCCTCAGTGCCCGCACTAGGCAGTCACGAGTATCTGCCCTTTCTAAACAAACTTCGACAAGAGAAGACCGTTAAAAAGGAATCTATTCGACAACATAAGACCAGCAAATCTCAAAGGAAAGTAGACAACACGAAGAAAAGTACAGTCTCGCATGAAGACGATTGTCATGGAGACGAGGACAGCTTAGGCTCCACCACGCCACAGTGTCCTGTAGGACGGGAAGTCCCAGCGGACTGGAAACCGGGAGCACATGCGTCTCACCCACTAACGAAACTAAGCGCTATTTACACTCCAAGTCGTAAAGTAAGACGCCGACGATCTGTTAGAAAGAAAAAACGAGTTGCAGGCAGACCTAGTCCAAGAAGAAAAGATAAAGAGGTTTTTGGAGCAGAACTAAACAAGCATGCGTCTAATTGTGAAGTCAACGTAAGCTCACCAGTCAATCCTGTAGAAGCCTCGAGGTCCTGCTCGGTCATTGAAGCACACGAGACAGGAAGCACCGACACAGACGCTAATCCAGAGGACGAGGTCTTGGCCAGCTTCGAGTACAAGAGAAGGTATTACGAGCGGTTAAGTAAACTGGGTAAAGATGACTCTGGTGGGGAGAGCAAGGGCGAGCATAGCCCCAATCCCAAACGTGTGACATCGCAGGTGAGGCTTCTGAAGACACTTGATGAACTCTACAGCTCTGACAGTTCCGGTGAAGGCGAAGCGGAGTTACCTTATACCAACCAGCCGTTATTTGATATGGGTCACCAGGCGTCGCTATTCAACTACTACACCACAAGACTGAAGCACATGACCGTTTTGAGCAACCTGGCTCATCAGCAATCAGTCAGCACAAGAATGCCCTACATCAGAATCCGCAAAGTGGAACAGGAAGTGCCCTCTGCCCTCGACCACAAAAGGTTGAAATCATTATATGAATGTCGGATGAAAAAACCCACCTTGACATCAAAAATAAGAAAAGTGGAGAACACTGAACAGACTCGGTCTCGGTCCAGCGACAAAACTGATGGTGTGACGAGAAGTGGAAAACAGCCGCTTTCGGCGAAAGGCTACAGAAGAGCTGTACACAATTTACCAAAGATTGCTAACAACAAAGCCACCAGCCGCGACAGTACGACAGATCTAGAGGAATCAGAGAAGGCGAGATTTAGGGAAAGAATTATTTCCCTTGATAAAGCAAAAACGACTTACGATGCCCAATCTGTTAGCGTCCCACACAGGTCATATCTGGATATCTTGAAATCCAATATCCATAATCCAAGTCAGCACACCAAGGTGGCGACAGCTGTATATAATGCCCAAGTAAGCAATAGCAACACACCAAAGCAGAATACCCCAGATGCTGGAGTGACTTGTAGTAAAGAATCTACAAGGTTGTACACGGAAGAACATGATCGCAAGACGCCGCCGTTGAAAGATAGGGAAAACGTCCATAGAAACCGTATGAAAGTACGGTTTGCTGACCCATGCAATGAGCATAAAGAGCGGGTTCCATATGAAATGTCAGATGAAGATACATGGTGCTCTTCGGTGAACGCTATGTTACTGCGCGCTAACAGAGTCATGGATGACGTGACTAGAAACGACCACCGCTACCCGAAACCGGATTCGGCACGGGTTGTGTCTCCTGTGCCGCCAAAATCCCCAACATTTCTCAAAGAATTGTTGAAGCAGGATACAATAGAAAGGAAACAAGCTAAGGGAAATACTCGAGCGACGTTAGAACGACGATATAAGGAGCCGGCCGTCAAGCAGGAAAAGATAATTGCCAAGTCCGGTAAACCAACCACTCCGCTAGCAATGTTCACGGCACCAGGGACTTCTTTTCTGGCCATAGATGAGAGGGCGGATACAGCGTTTACACAAAATAACTCCTCACTTGTGTACTCCGTCCCGATAAAAGATGGCACTGAGCCACCCAGCATTAACGAGAAATCTGCAGGCGTTTTGAAGATCAGCATACAAATGTCTAAGAGAGCGCAGGAAAGAGCCTGGCTTACCCACGAGCGAATCAAGCGACAAAGAGCAACAAACACCGACTACGACCTGAAAACAGAAGTTAAATCTATACCGAAGAAACTTACCCCGCTTCGTATTTCCAAACCTATCAACTTTCAGAACCCGGACAGCAGAAATTTGGAGCGAATTCCAATGAGAGACGTCTTATCGAAGACATTGATGGGGCAAAGCACTTCGTCCCAACAGATCTTCCAACCGAAGACGGTTGCGGCAGAGTCGTTGGCAACAAGCAGGTCCAACTTCTTGCTTGATCAACACTCGGAAACGTTCCGTTACTTCCGTGGGCCGTACATGCACCAGAGAAGCTCGTCGATCGTTCCCCTGTTCAGTGACTCCAATAACAATGCTTTTCTGAGAGGTATTTCAGAGGAAGAGACGTCTGACGGGGGTAGTCAAGACGATAAGGAGCGGCTCAGACATCATCCTTCATTCACCCTAGACGTGATCACAATTCCACAGATGGACGAGATTATTCGTAAATCAGAAAGCGACGATGGCGGATGCTGTGTTGATGAAGATTTCTCTCCTCGATTTTCAGTAGACCATCCTGAATATTGTTACAATGAGTATGCTGGTGAAACAAATGAACGAAGCACCGAAAAAGAAGTCCAGTACGATCGTGCCAGCAATATACCTACATCCCTTAAGGGATTCAAGACAGGAGCAAATTCACAGCCTTGTCACCGGCTAGCTGATAGAGTCGATAATTCAATGAAATCATATCCTGATGATAACAGACACAGCAATAAACACAATAGTGTGATGTCATCGCCCAGCACAGACACGCCACTGTCTTTTAGCCCCAGCAAGAACATCGCTGCCACCACCAAGCCAACAGAAACTAAAGCGGAAACTATCAAGTACTCAACCGGAATGTCGACTGAAATCAGCAAGTCCTGGAAAGTCTACATACCGGGGATGTCATGTATTGATTTTGTAGACAGTGTCGGAAATTTGGAGAAAGCACGTGAGTACAAAGCTGAAACAGACAAACTAAATATGGGCAGTGAGCAACGGGAAGACACAGAAGCGCAATCTGACCCTCAAGAAACTCTTCTGGACGCGCTACTGGGATATGAAATTGAAAGAATGTCGAAAAGATCGATGAGAACGGCAGAGGCGGACAGCGAACGAAAGCAAACACTGGAAGAGAATGATATTTCAAAGCAGGGTGTGTCTGCAGATGGTGTGTCGGAGCTGTATAGCACTTGCTATCTCAATCAATGGGCACCCAACTATTTGGAAAGTGCCCTTGACACCAATAAGTCGCCGCCTTTAACAATCACAGAAACGGATCGGTCAGGTTGTTCGGAGAGAAGTGACCAAGTAGGCGACGAAGACTTGCCTTACCATGCATGTGCTCAGACCAGTAACGATGCTGACACCGTTACTTTAACCTATCACCAAAAGGAAATTCCCGGTGAGAAAGAACTATTAGACATGGATGAAGAAGCAGCCCCGGACTGCAGATTTGAGCTATCAGCCCCTAAACCAAAACCACACGTACGGAGAGATGATTCTCCCGCATTCGATAACCTTACCGTGCTTGGATCAACTATTTCACTGGTGGAAAAACGTTCTCTAAACGTATCGACTAGTTTCCCTGCCATTTTGCGACCCAAATTAGAGTATCATTCACAAAAATGCTCAAGATCCAATGTCCGAGCAATATCGGTGGACAAGCCAGTCAACCAAGCGGCGATCCTGCGACCAACACAAGACCTGAACTATATAAATAGGTATATCGGGAAATTGCCTGCAAATGATGCCAAACACACGAAAATAATACATGCAGCTCAAAGACAAGCAAAGATATTGGATAGCGTGAAAAGAAATTCAACAAAGGAATCCACTGTAACAGCTGGTTCTGTAGCTGATATTGGCAATGATGATTTGTCCATGAATAAAACAAGCAGTAGACATTTTGACTGGACCAAAGTGAAAATCCCTCCATCTTTCATCAAGGGCATCAATATCCCTTCTGCTCTTGCTGTCACAGATATGATCCCAAACATGGAGGACCCATCATTTTCTCCGCGCTCGATTTATTCTAATTCATCTGCCGCTCCCTGCACGCAGGCAGAAAATGTTGATACTGAGAAAGTTAGCAAAACTGTACACACATCGAATTTCAGAGAAGAAATTACCCCAAATTTTCTTGATTCGATTCGAGACCCACCCAACTCTCTTTGTACTACAATAAACATGAAAGATGTGACATCTTCAACGCGTACCCATGATGCTGAAATAGATAATTTGAAACCAACAACAGGATCTGGCCGCGACGACCATTACCAAAACAACCGGCAGGATACAGCAGACGGGTGCCTCAATCCGGTAACCACACAAACAGTCTGTAAAAACCTCGGCGCTCGGTCTGGGACCTCTCATGTCGAAGGCAGAGCTCTAACCTTGAGTCGCATGAGTGGGTTGGGTATGTCTCCGGCAGAAATGAACACCACATCTCAAATCTCCGACTCCTTTGATGAAGACGAAGATGAGACAGTGGCTCCGCAAGAACCTACAGATGATGCTTCAGAGTGGAAAAGCGAAAGCCAGAGCGTTCCTGTTAAAGATGCGGTTCCCTCGTCAGAGCATAGTGAAGGTCACCATTTACAGGAGAATTTGAAACCTCGTAATGCCGATTTTACCAAAAGGGTTCACGTGCAACCCAGAACCACGCTGAGATCGTCCCTGGAGTTCCTGGACAGGGATTTCCTCAGAAGCTTGAGAAACACAGACTTGCTGCACACTGTCAGCACGGACCGACACCGGTTGTTCAAAAGTCTGCAACGAATGACCAGGCGGAAGGGCTATCTACCCATGTTTCAGGTGAAGTCCAGGCAGGCCATTGAGATGCTGCCTCAGATTGTTGTCCTGAATCATTGCGCCAAGACCTTCATCGAGCGAGGTAGTTCGTCGTTTTCTGGGAGTGTCCGCTGTCTACCAGTCTTCTACACCGAGGATGACCATGGCTTCATCACCAGGTAGACTGTATATGTTTATAAACAATGTTCGGTAAAACTAGGTCAGACGGTGGTGTCCAAATGTGTAAAACTAGGTCAGACGGTGGTGTCCAAATGTGTCAAACTAGGTCAGACGGTGGTGTCCAAATGTGTAAAACTAGGTGAGACGGTGGGGTCCAAAGTATTCCATTCATATTGTTGTTAATGTTTTAAAATGGCATAATATATTTTCACATTCTCATTTATCTCTTCATGTGTCGACGGAAATCCAAGCCTCCGTTTCTCACTCTCCAGCCACGTCAATCACAGACACATTATTCTGTTGTACTCTTTCTCCAGTTTTATCTGTCCACATAATTCTAGGTCAACTTCGGGATATCTGTCCCTCTACTCGTGTTTTGTTTATGTATTGCATAGCATGGCATCATAAAGCAGTCTCCCTCTAATGGTGTATTGATTTTACATGCAATTTAGTTTTGTTTCAGACATTCCATTTCAGTGAATAAGGGGAAGGTTGTATCGCGTAAGAAGTCATTTGGTCGGTGACAGTCGTGGGCTTGGTTCCATCTAGATAAACAAGAAACACATCCAGAAGACCACTATATCCTTGTAGTTGAGATGTGCAACGCGTCGTACTGGATTTCCACAAGAGTGGATTCTTTGCAAACGCTGACCTCCTTACAATCCAATGGAACAGTTTTCTACGTTAATTTTCATCATCAGATTGTAGATCCGTTGTAGAACATCGCTTCCACAACATGAGCAGCGTCTGTGGTTTAGGCGTTGCGAGTCCAACTCGCAATTCCAACGTATCGCGGTCGAAACCCACTGTTGGCTGCGGGGATTTGTATGATGGTGTGTGGCGTCGCAGGTCGACCCATCCTTAAATGGGTACCAGGGTGGCTGTTATGGGGAAGTAAAGACGGCCGGCGTAATGCTGACCACATTACCCACCTAGTGCTGATTGAATTGTAAAAAAAAATAGGGTATGCTCTTCCCATGTGCCCGATGAGCCCAAGGCCAATGCCTGCCTGACTGACTGCCTGTCTGTTCGTCTACCTGTCTACATCTCTGTCTGTCCGCCCGTCTGTCTGTCTGACTGTCTACCCGTCTGTCTGCCCGCCTATCGATCTGTCTATTAAGGACTCCGGGAACCATCACTCTGTCTGTCTATTTGCATACGAAACGATCTGCTGTTCGTCTATCTTTCTGTGTATCTGCCTAACTGTCTAAATATGTCTATATATTTTCATCAGTATATACACGGTGAACTGGATTCCCGAAGGCGTCTACTCCTTAGAAAAGTCTCCCATAGAAACAATAACATCAGGAGAGACCAATACAAATACCGACCAACAGGCATCGTTTGGTAAACTTCTTCAGTACTCTCCCTTCGCCAGTGACCAAGCTTTCACCAATCAGCAGGCTTACCTGATCGGGGATGAAGTGAGCTCAAGGGAAGAAGCTGCACGGACGCTGACTGTAGCTCACGATGAGGCGGAGGGCGATGTAGCCAAATACTTTATGCTCATGTGCGGCTGGGTGCCGCCACTTCTGAATTCAGGAGCCCCTCTACCCACCTCAGAAACGCCGCTTGAAGTCAGCTCTGTGAAAGCTGAAAGTAAAGAAAGAGATAGCAACATTAAAAATATGACAGAGCTAGCTCAGAATCGTGCCCGAGAACTCCATCTCCATGAACTCGACTCTGTGGCTGAAGGCAGGTATTCAGAGAAGAACACAAGTAAAATAACTGAAGATAAAGAGTCCAGTCTGCCACAAATAGCAACTGTCCAAGCTGTTGCCACGTCAGATACTCCTTCTGGTGTGTTCCAATCTCGAGTGAATGAAGTCTGTACTCTTCCGGCTATCTGCTATGGCGCTGGGCCCATCACCACAGAGAAAGCTCGACCAACTCTGATGCTGTGTCTTAGATGTGGGGTTAGAGTTAAGTGCGCCCACGCACAGACAGAAGACGTGATTCAAACCAGAGATAGCTTGCCGTTTGAAAAATGGCAGACTCAAAGAGCATGCCCAATGAATATAAAGATAAAAACGTTACAAGGACGGAATAGTCCGAGTTGTTGTCGCCAACGCAGTTGCCGTCATAGCTGGGAGGTTTCTGAAGTAGGTTTGGCGCTTCCTCTCATTACCGCTGTGACGAGGAGAGCGCATACAAGAAGGGGTTCCGCTAACGAAAGGATCTCGCCTCTTTCCAGCAGATCTAGAAGTCGGTCAAAGCTTTCGCTCAAAAGAGTAACGAAGAGTCAGACTGAATTCGAATGTAAGAAAGAATATGGCAGCGCATACTCCGCTCTTTCTCAAGTCAGATCTCAGCCCGACATCTACGGGGCACGATACAACTCTAGGTCTATTGATATACACGCTGAAGCTATCATTCACACTGAAGAGAACCCTCAAAAGAACAGGGAGTCTGCAGGAAGAGGATTCACAGCCACCAGCACAAAGCAAGGTCCTACCATTAAAACACCAGAATTCGATGCAGGCAAAGAAATCAACGTTCTCGTTGAAAGCGTCAAATCTGAATGTCGAGCTGTTGACAACAGAAGAAAAACTCCTACACGGATCAATGATTTAATTCAAGGACATGCACAGAAATCACCAGCAACAGCTAAAACATTATCCACATCTCCTCATAATCAAAGATTGTTGAGTCAGCAGGCATCTACTTACCCGAGCTCAGTCAAGTATCTAGTGTCATTGAGGCAACAAGCCAGTGTCAAACAGAATCAAAAACTGAAGGAAACCACTCAGCAAGCTGTTCTGACAACAGACAGGGACAAACTTCGAGAGACTGATCCGTCAGTGGCCGGCTGGACTTGGAAAACTGTTCGAGAAGTTTTAGATGAAGAGCAAGAGCTCATGGAGAAAAGAACTTGGTCTCAGGCCGTAATCCCCCCTCCTTTTCCAGCAGCCAACCCGGCACACTCGGCCCTGAACAAACAGTCGCAGAAACCGACTAGCAGGAGCTTCCAGTCCAGGAAGAAACATTTGGCTCAGCACAGGCGAAACCTGAGTCAAATCCACCACTCCTATGTCTCGCCCTATTATGCAAAGAAAGAAGTCAAACGGGCAAGAAGCCGAACACCAGCCTCAGACAGCGGAGACGACCGTTCATCCATCAGCCGGATCACTACCAACAGTGGCTTGAGCAGCTCCAGCAGCGAGAGCAACACTGAAGAAGAATCCTCCACAGAAGAATCTGAATGCGGATCTCGGTCATCAGATTCCGGGTCGGATTTTTTCACCCGCTATGCCAACAAGGGCGGCCCAACAAGTGTGGACGACATATTCAAACGAACACTGCCGCGACAACGGCTGGACTACAAGCTAGCGCGAATGAAGGAGGCCAAGGAGAAAGAAGAAATGGAGCAGTTGGGGTACCTCCGCGGCAAGGAGGGGGCCACACCCCCACCTCAGGGCCACGGAGATAATGCTAGAGAGAAGGATCATGCAGTCAGCTTCGCGCTTTCTGAGTACGACATGTGCTCTGATGCGGAGGAAATCAGACAGTTATGGAAGGAATGCTTTCCCGAAGTCGATTTCTGGGACAGGAAAAGAAGGAAAAAATTCAAGAAGACGAAAATTTTGTCCTGATTCTAGCAGTGAATCGTGGTGTCCCTGCTTCGACTTTTATTGTTTAATATGTATATCTTCGCATACCCTACATCAGAAGCAGTGCAGCCGTAGTTTTGTCGTAGTAGTAGTAGCAGCAGCAGCAGCAGTAGCAGCAGTAGTGGTAGTAGTAGTAGTAGTAGTAGTAGTAGTAGTAGTAGTAGTAGTAGCAGCAGCAGCAGTAGCAGCAGCAGTAGCAGTAGTAGTAGTAGCAGTAGTAGCAGTAGCAGTAGCAGCAGCAGCAGCAACAGTAGTAGTAGTAATAGTAGTAGTAGTAGTAGCAGTAGTAGCGGTAGCAGCAGCAGCAGCAGTAGTAGTAGTAGTAGTAGTAGCAGCAGCAGTAGCAGCAGCAGTAGTAGTAGTAGTAGTAGCAGTAGTAGCAGCAGCAGTAGTAGCAGTAGCAGTAGCAGTAGC